AGATACCAGAGACCCCCATCTTTCAGACCAGGGCAGCAGCCAGAGAAGTCCGACTTCGGGGATAGGAACAGAAGGGGTGGCCAATCCAAGAGATCCTTTTGAGGAGCAGGAAATAGGTCTTTCCGGCATCCAAGATAACTCCCCGGACCTGGCTCCCATTGGCGGACATCTTAAATTATTCACGGACCAATGGGACTCCTCAACGTCTGATTCCTGAGTCAGAGACACAATCAGATTTGGTCTTGCACTGGAGTTTCAATCCACTCCCCCAGACTTTTTCATGTCATGCCCTGTTTCTAGAGATCCGGTTAAACGTAATCATATGGAAACAGCTATCCATCATCTACTGGACATACGAGCCATCCAACCAGTAGCTACCAATCAATGAGGGTGAGGTTTCTATTCACATCTTTTTGTTCTTCCCAAAAGTTCGGGGGGGTAGAGAGCAATATTGGATCTGAAACGTCTCAACCGTTTCTTAGTATATCGCAAGTTTAAAATGCACACCCTGCAATCTATCTTACTTTGCATCAGAAAGAATGACGTACTTACGTCCATAGATCTGACGGAGGCGTACCTACATATTGCTATTCGGCCTTCCCACTATAAATTTCTGAGATTCTGTTATAATAACCACCATTTTGAATATGTGGCCCTTCCTTTTGGACTAGCTTCTGCCCCCAGGACCTTCACGAAGGTTCTCGCAGCGCTAGCTGCTCATCTCCATGATACCCATCCTCAATAAATCTCCATGATACCCATCCTCAATAAATTGGAAAAAGAGTCATTTAACACCATCGACTCAGTTAACCCATCTGGGGGCAGTCATAGACATGGTGGAAGGCAAAGTTTACCTGTCACCAAATAGACTAACTAGCATTCAGCAATTAGTTAAGGAGATCAGGGGTCTTAAGAGGGTGTCCCTCGTGGAACTATCAAAATTGTTAGGCAAGATGATCTCATGTATATCTATCATCCCTTGGGCCCGGCTCCACACTAGATCCCTCCAGTGGTTCCTGCTCCCGTACCAGCGCTCCAGCCGAAGCAACTCCAAATACAAGGCCAGGATACCATCAAAGGTCCTCATATCTCTCCTCTGGTGGACCAGACCAGTCATCAACAGAGGCTGCCTCTTCAAAGAGCCACACAGACTTACCATCACCACCAATGCCACCCTGTTTGGATGGGGAGTGCACGTTCAATCGCTCACAACCCAAGGCCGCTGGTCTGCCATAGAACAGTCGTGCAGCATAAACTGGCTGGAGCTTTGAGCAGTACACCTGGCTCTCCACAGCTTCCTTTCACAGGTACGCAATCAGCATATACTAATATTGACCAACAACGTAACAGCCAAAGCTCACATAAACAAACAGGGCGGCACACAGTCTCATGCGGGAAGCGGAGCGCTTGTGTCGTTGGGCAGAGAGCAACCTACTTTCCATCAGAGCAGAGCACATTTTGGGCCTGTCAAATACACAGGCAGACTGGCTAAGCAGGGCCATGATCAATCAATCGGAGTGGCGCCTCCATCCGACCCTGTTTCAAGAGGCAGTCAGGACATTTGGACAGCCGGTGGTGGACCTGTTCGCTTCCCCTCTCAACACTCAGCTCCCGAGATTTTTTTCCAGGTACCCCTCGCAAGGAGCGGAGAACTTCAATTTGCTCTGCTGTCGTTGGCCCCCAGGACTTCTGTATGCATTCCCACCACTTCCACTGCTTCCCAAGGTCATCCAGAAACTGCTAGACGAGAGAGCGGAGCTGCATTTAGTAGCTCCTTACTGGCCCAGACAGCCGTGGTTTGCAGACATCCGCAGTCTATCCATATCAACACCATGGAGAATTCTGCCAGACAGGGTCTTGCTAACCCAGGGACCCCTTCAACATCCGGACCCTCAATGGTTGCACCTGACCGTCTGGAGGTTGAGCGGAGTCGTCTGAAGAGCAAAAAGTTTTCCAACAGAGTTATCGCCACCATCCAAGCCGCCAGACGCCCCTCAACAACTGGCATTTACAATGCCACATGGTCCAGTTTCTGCAAATGGTGTACCAAGTCTCGAATTGATCCCATCTCTCCATCTGTGGCTCAAATCCTAGAGTTCTTGCAAGAGGGACTTGACAAGGGATTATCACCTAATACGTTGAAAAGACAGGTGGTGGCCTTGGCATCAGTTCTCACTTGTGAAGGTCTACTATCTCTTTCCCATCATCCATGCATACGGAGTTTTCTTCGAGGAGCCACAAATTTACGCCCTCCAGCGGTACACCGTTATCCCACCTGGGACCTTAACAGGTTCCTCGTCACACTCACTAAGGGCCCTTTTGAACCCTTGAAATCGTCAAGTCTCCAATTTCTGATGTAAAAAGTAGTTTTCCTTGTAGCGATCACTTCTGCTCATTGTATTTCGGAACTTGCAGCTTTCAGACAAGATATTTGTGTTTTCCATTCTGACCAGGTGGTCCTTTGTCCTGATCCTACGTTTATTCCCAAAATTAACTCGGTTTTTCATAGGGCACAAGAGCTGATACTTCCTAATTTTTGTCCCAGACCATCCCAAGGGTTGGAACTACAATGGCATAGGCTTGATGTGAGGTGAACATCGCGAATATATATTAACCGCACAGCAACTTTCAGAAAAACAGAAGCCTTATTTGTGTCATTTCAGTCCAACACTCAGGGATGCAAGGTTTCATCTTCTACAATAGGCCGTTGGCTACGGGCCGCGATAGCGAAAACGTATCAGACTCAATCACTGCAGGTGCCCAGGGGCATAACAGCTCATTCAACAAGGAGCGCCGCAACATCGGCAGCGTGGGCCACACAGGCACCAATAACTGAAATTTGTCGAGCCGCAACCTGGGCCTCTCCATCACTATTCATTAGGCATTATAAAATAGATGTGTTTGCATCTGCTGAGGCCTCCTTTGGCAGAAGAGTTCTGCAACGGGTCCACAGGGACCAGGAGGGGTTTCCAGGCCAGACGGAGTCCCTCCCGTAGGACAGGCCAAGCTTTGGTATGTCCCACTACTGGATGCTCTGAACAGCTCATGGGAGAAAGGGTGTTGGTACTTATCTGACACGCCTGTTCTCTTTGAGCTGTGAAGAGCATCCAGTCCCACCCTTTTTCTGTCTGGTGGGGTCCTGTTTCGGCCAACGAATTTGTTAGGGCATTGAGGACGAGGGCGTTTATTTCTCTCGTCTTTACCAAAACTGGGGAACGCTGGGGAGGAGTCCCGTGGAGGAGGAGGAGCGTTCCACAAATTAAGCCCAGTCTAGACATGCAGAGACTGAAGCACCTCCCACTACTAGATGCTCTTCACAGCTCAAAGAGAACGGGCGTGTTAGGTAAGTACCAACGCCCTTTCTATTCAAAACACATCTAATTATAAGGATTTCTTAATTGTGATGTATTCCATTATGATTGCCTTCTAAGGCTGTTGTGCTGGATGGTATATGTATGTGTGTGTGTGATTGAGAATGTTATTTGAGTTACAATGATAAAAAATGACCTTATTTAAAATATTGTGATCATTCCTACCTGCTTTGATTTATATATTTGTAAAAACAGAATTTATAATAGCGTTAACAGTTATATTATAAACAACATCTAAATTATACAACAGTTTCTATTATTTACAAACTTTAATGTATATATAACTTTGTGTTATATACACATTAAACAAACTCTTTAAATTCAATCCATTTAGCCTACCTGCAGTTTTGGAATATTGGGATCCAAGGGTTTGGATTTTCCTCTCTCTGAGAAAAGTTATTGACTTGCCTAAATAATTGAAATTCTAAAAATATTAGTCACAATATGGAACAGAATAAAGTGCTATTACTTTCAAATCATTACTCTGAAAAAAGTAATGGTCTATGAAAAAATGGAAATGTAAAAACCATGTAGAATGAATTAAATAGCAATGATTTAATCAACCGAAAAGCTTTTAAAATGACATTGCAGTATAGAGCACAGTCTTAACTATCAAAATCTTTTCTACCCTAATGCTTGAAATAAAATATTCACTGGAAATATGAAAATGCAAATAAAAAGCAGGAGAGCTATTCTGAATTTTTCTTAGACAGTTTTCTTTAGCACAAAATTGACCATTCTGACCATATCAAAAATGTTCCAATAATGTTTGAATCTCACTGGAGGAGTTCTGAACTTCTGGAGATCAGAATGCTTCAGGTAAAATTGGACTGGCCCATCCTGATCTCAAAACAAGACACAAGCTCAGAACATTTTAAAGTTGAAATATGCCCGCTTTCTCCTAGGAACTTGCATAAAAAAGAGAGCATTTTCCAACCACCAGTTGACTTTTAAGCAGACTAAAGATTTGATTACAACTTGCCAATCTTAGCCCTATGAAAACAATTCAAAAGAGTGTTTCATTAGTGTGGAGCAAAGAAACTTTCCTTCAAGTGTTAAAGTCGCGATGGTTTTCCCCATCTGTCTGCACTTTTGTGTGTACAGGGATTCCAAGGCAAATTGTTCTTGTAGGAATGATCTTGATGATTGTCCATGCCTGCACAGAAAACCATGAAAAGCCTTTGAATCAGCCATAACTGTTTTCTAAAGGACGTGGTTACTTTAATAGCACTAGCGCTTAGACTTATATACCGCTTCACAGTGCTTTACAGCCCTCTCTAAGCAGTTTACAGTGTCAATCTATTGCCTCCAAAACAATCTGGGTCTTCATTTTACTGACCTCGGAAGGATGGAAGGCTGAGTCCACCTTGAGCCGGTCAGGATCGAACTGCTGGCAGTGAGCTGAATTAGCCTGCAATACTGCATTCTAACCACTGTGCCACTACGGCTCATTAATGCTTGAAAAAGAGTTAGACTTCCTTCTAATTCTTTCATAATTAATTTTTTTTTAAAGTATGATGGGCGGTATAGAAATTTGATGTAAATATATACATAAATATTTGCAGTTTTGTTTAAAAAAAATTACATTAAGGTCTTTAATGCTCTGTTTCTTTTTTTCTTTGTTTCTAGGAAATTCCACTTACTTAGATGATCACGGGCCAGCTCCTTGTAAGGTGAGATGCTTTGTACATTATGTTACATTCAATCAGATTCTGTTCTGCTGTTCCATTTTTCTGCCACTGCAGCTTATAAATGATAAATTATGGTAAGTAATGGCATTATTTCTTTCCCATCAGAAAGGCATAGCACAAACAATTGTTCTAGCAAAGTACTTGCGTGTAAAATTGGAGTTGGGAGTTTTTACACTAACAAAGATATTTGAAAACTTACAAACAATTGTGAAAATTGGCTTTGGAGTTGCCATAATCCTTTCCCGTTCTATCTTTATTTTACAGAATATATCAAGAACGGGGTGTGTGTGTGTGTGTGTGGAAGGATAGAGATTTCCCATAAGAGAAGGGAAGTTAAGAATTAAGCTTAATTACTTTCCCCACCTTTGGTATCTCCTTTCAAAATTAGCTGAACTAGTTGGTATTTATGATTTCTTTAAGGTGGATAGACAAAGTGTTTGCATTTTTCTTTACTTTTAATAGTTTTTGATTTGAGCTCTGCCCTTTCTTGTTTGTTGGCTCTCCTGATTGATGCTGATTGCAATTTTAGTCCATCTGAATCGCATTATATTAATTCTATATTATTCTATGTTATTTAATTCTATTATTTTTTTATTTTGCTTTATGATACTGGAGATCTTTATTAAGACAGAATGCAATATAAAAATATGTGCATGATATTACTTTCATAAAATGTTCAGCAGTAATCAACAAGTTTAAAAATAGTTTGCAGTTAAATCAATTGTGCTTTATGCCAGCCTTAATAAGCATTACTATTTCTGTTTTATTTTTGAAGGGTTGATATGTACACTGAGAAACATTTTGAATAAATGTATTATTTGTCTGTCTTAACATACTTGTTAATTCAAAAAGAGAACATTTATTTTCTTCTTAATAACTGCTGTGACATCATTGCAATAAAAACAGGACAAATTTGGCTTCTCAATCTTAACTAACACAATTATTCATTTCTGCTCTAGTGCTCAGAGTTTGTGCCAATAGAAGAAGTATCATAAATAAAAGAACAATCATTAAAAATCTTACATGTTCTAAATAGTAATAATAACATATTGCTATAATATATTTCCACTATTGGTCTCACTTTATACTCTTTTTCTCAGTTTGTAACAATGTAAGAATCAAGTGAAAACTCTATTTGGACTATCTCAATTCTAGATAACTACACAGATCAACAGAAAGAAAATAAAGCACAATTCATAAAATAAAATAGAAGGGTGTGTGTGTGTGTGTGTGTGTGTGTGTGTGTGTAAATTCTTATCAAGGCAAACATAATAAAGGAAGATGGATCTTAGTTTTCTTGCCACTAATAAAAAATTAGTTAGGGATTTTGGAGTCTGGTAGAAACCAAGAAATGTGCACCTTTCTGATTTCCGAATACTTTATTTTGTGCTAAAACCTGGTTATTCAAAACAACCAGTTTGACCATTAACCTGTAAATTTTGGCATTTTTAAAATTTTGGAGACCCATATACTGAATGTCATGACAAGAATGTTTTAACAAATGAAGAACAAATTAATTCAGTTCAAGAAATATTGCTTCTAGAAGCTGAGTAAACTATACAGAATTTTTAATTTCCTTGCTTGATGAGAAAAGATCAATTTTCTTTAATTGGTTTTACCTTGCTCATTTTTCTATTTAATTATAACTTATATTAGAGTCGTGATCTTATATTTAGTTATATTTTATTTTATGAATCATTGT